ATTTGCTCTCGCTTGCTTTTTTACAAAAAGAATTTCAAAGGCGTTTCTACCACGCACAGCAATTCGCACGTATCTTGCCCATCACTCAGGCCAAAATACATATTTGCTTGCTAGCCAGAGACGACTCCTTCAGAGCCTTTACGGCTGGTCAGGTCAAAAACTTCTATTGGTTTTAGCAGGTGCTTAAGTATTATTGCTTCTTATTATTAGCTACGCCATTATGGTCTGCCAGGGAATTATCCAAATGTGCGTTTCTAGCAGCCGTTATGTCCCTTTGTGTCAAAGCTCAGATGCTTTCATTAGATGCTACATTTAAAAGAAGGAATTAAATTCACATGCATGCTACAAGCCCCAAAGTTCAACCGTCTGGTTGAAACCACATGGAGGCTGGGAAATGTACTGTTAATACCAACTCTTTCTACTTTAGTTGCCCCACGGTCCTGACAAAACACAGTAACACCACTGCCCGGACAGCCCCATGCTATTTAGACACGGTGGCATTCCTGAAAACCATTTTCAACCTGAACTCTCTGCTCGTGTGCTCTGGCTGGTTTAGACCAGCTGCTCAGCACCCCAGGTCTGGATTCTCCTCCAAGCCTAGATGAGGCTGACCCCTCAACTCCTACCGAAGTAGGAATCACAGCCCTGTTGTCCTAGTTTGCACCCTAGCAAACCTACCAGAAGGGCTGCAGGGAAAAGCAGAGGTTGTGAGGGAAAGGCAGCTTAGCCAACAAGCCTTCACAAGAGGAAAAGTCTTCAGGAAGCCAAAACCCCTAACTTGGACCTGGTCTATGCAGCGTTTTGGATCGGCATCACCATTGCAACGTGATTTCTACTGCAAGAACTACCCATGTAAAGCCCCTAGCATGGACCCAATCGCCAACGTATAAGTTCCCTTCCCTATGTCAAAAAAGGTGATTTAGTGTCAATATACATGCATCCAGACTTGGAGCCTATATGCAACTTGTGTGTGTAGACAAGCCTGTATAAAAGCATGACTTCGGGGGACCAAAACCCTGGATACAAAAGAAAAAAGTTCTTTCAGTGGCACTGCCCCAATGACTTCCAGTGCTGGCTGCTGGAAAGCCTTCCCCTGACCCTCATCTCTAGGATCAAGCATTACAGCGTCAACCCTTGCAGAGGCATCTGGTTATAGGAGACAGGATTTTAAGCCTTCTGTTTCCCAGACGTGAGGCCTGAGCACGCAGCGCTAATTAGCACACCATGGCTAAGCAGGGCTCAATGCGTCTTACCAAAAGATGCATAAAACCCTTCCTGGCCACCAGCATTTGTACGGAGCTGGCCCAGTCTCCCGTCAGCTGCATGGCATTTGTACGGAGCTGGCCCAGTCTCCCGTCAGCTGCATGGCTGGGTTTCCAACTTTGTTAGGAGTGCCTAAGTTAGCAAAGCCGCTAAGGCAATATGCTCTGTCCCACTCCCATACACTTCCATTCCCTGGAAATGAGGGAGTGAGGACGCCTGGGTTTCTGCCGTGTTTATGAGTGGCAGCTTGGGATACACCTAAGGGCACCCCAGCACCTCCAAGATTGACTGGCACGTAGCAGGGTGACAAAGCCTATCCCTGTTAGCACCAGCCTTGGGCACCAGCAAGGACCCATGGGTCAGGTAGTAAAAGCCCTCATCATCTCCTTAACCTGTCCAACCATATCCACTTTTGGGGTGTCCTAAGTTGAAGGCTGCACTAGCTGATCCTCCCCACATGGGCACTCCAAGAGCACCTGGATCCTGGTGTCCCACTGACCAGCAAAGGGCACTCACAAAGTGGCTCAAAGGGGTCTGTCTAAGCTCGCACAGCAAGACAATGGCAAAGGAGCACAAAAGTTGCCTGCCCCAACCTCCAAGGTCCTGGTAAAGGTCCTCTGGAGTCAGTACTGGGGAGGGAACAAGCTGTGCAATGGAAAAGAAATCAGAAAATGAGGCAGAGTCCCAAGGGTTGCACTGGGAGGGAGGGAGGGAGCTGACTGGGGGGTGTAGGGACAAGAGAGCAACATGCTGAGATCTGCTTGGGTTCTGCCGTCGCTCTCTTGCAACCACAGCTTATCCTATTTATTCCTCTCCACTGGTGGCAATAAAACCCTGGCCTAATCCATCAGCACCCCGAGTGGCGGCAGCAACAGGTGAATTAAAAACAGAAAGCAGATGGGGCATCGTCTCTGCCCAGCCCCAGCTGTCACGTCTGCTCCACGTCTCACCGGCTGTGGAACCAGCCTGGCCATGCCCCTCCTTCCCACCCCCCACCCTGTCCCACACTGCTAATGACAAGAGAGAGCAGAGCCAGAGCATGTGTGCTGTGGCAGAGCTGTGCCCAGCAGGGATGCAGCTAGCTACCTCCTCTGGGCACTAAGGCAATGCTTTCTGGTGCAACGCACCCTCTTCGACATCCAAGGTGCAAGGCGGGAGGGGGCAATGGGTGTTATGTTCATTTCTATGATACAAGGGCCAGAGCCTTAAGAGCTTCTTGAAGGGAGAGGTGTTTTGCACAACAGATGTCCCCTCGTAGAGGAGAGGACACTGAAGACGCTCTCAGTACTGCCTTGCTCCCATCACGATGGTGCCTGGGTGCTGGCTGCTGTCAGCGCATATCAACAGATCAGTGCATATCCAGTCACTCTAGCCCCTCAGTAGACAATAAGCAAAAGCAGCTCCAACCCCGAGCAAGCAACAGGAGGTCTCTCTGCCCTTGGCCCAGAACACCCGCAACGCTGCATTCACACCAGCCTCAGGACTCCGCTTCCTCCTCTCCCAGTCAGGAGTCCATGAGGGTGCGATGGACACCACAGCTAATGTGCTTCTACTATAAACGTTGCCCTTCCTTCCCTAAAACCTTTTCTTCCCTTTGCTAAAAGACCCCAGGTCCTGACTGCCAGGGAAAACTTGAACTTGAACTTCTACAACATCACATGGAGTCTCCACGGGACTCAACGGCAACCGTCCCAAAGATGTCCATGTGCCCCCTCGGAGGAGGCAGGGTCCGTGATTACTCCGAAGAGGAGCCGATGCAAGTGCTCAGCACCTCCCAGAATGAAGCCGTGTCTTAATCAAGAGCTGGGGGCACAGAAGTCCCCAAAACTGGCTCCTGTGGAGCTGATGGCAAAGTTTCCATCAAAACCTCAGAACCAGGTTGGGCCTGATCTCAAAGTGAAAATCCCAGTGCCATGCGCCCATAAAGCCCTCCTATAAATGCACCAAATGAAGTAAAAAAATGGTATTTTCAAAGCAGGTGGGGTTCAGACTAATGGGAAACTATCACCCCTTCCTTTAAAAAACTCAAATCCAGGTTTAGAGACCATCAAACACACGACTGAAAAACAGAGGGAGGTGCCACAAAATGATGAGTTAAGGGACCAATGAATAATGAGTAGTAAGGCTTTGGGGTTTTTTTCCCCCTTGTATTTCCTAATAAACAAGGCAAAGCAATTACTGTAATTAAAGATTTAAGATAAAAGCACTTTATATTTTGGGGGCCCTGAAATCAATTAAATATTTATTATGTTGTTCTCCCTCCTAATGAGAAAACCTAGCACTGTAGTTTTGCAGAATTAAAAGCATAATTTAAGGAGGTGGGGGAACCATGGTGGCTTTGTGGTACCGTTAGTAACAGTCCTCTGCCTGTGCAATTCTGCCTGTGCATATACAGCCCAGCCGCCCCACTGCTACCTGTGCTCTTCCAGCTGCTAATCTCTGAGCAGTATTAGGGAACAGCCGTATAGTGGATGAGAAACTCCTGGCTTCACTTGGAAGGGTTGGTCTACTACTTTGACTCCCTTTTTCCCCACAAGATCTCAGCTGGGATCTCAGAAGGGAAATGGCTTATCAACTCAGGAGCAAGAACCACATAAAACACAAGAAAAGCAATTACATGCCTTCAGTTTCCAGTCCTCTGTTTTTATAGGGCTTGTCTTCGAATCTGAGCAATTTTATGCATTAGTGCGAGATGATGATCAAGATGAGTTGCAATGACATGCATGGGGGGCTGAGACAGAGCAGCTGTAGATATTTATTTTCCTCTAGTTATAGATCTTATAAACAACATATTTCTTTGGAGGGATGTGGGAAGCCAAAATCTTGCAGCCAAATACCACGGGCAGCCAGGCTGGAAGAGACTATGCTGAGTGACACCCAGAGGTGACTTCTGATGCCACCTTTTCAGCTCTGCACAAGTTCTAGAAGCGGTCACTGCATTGAGACACATCCTGAATAAATCTAAGCAGCTAGCTATATATCTGGATGGAGAGATCCCTCCCCAGATGTTTTAGAGACTATCTGCATACCACAGACTCTTCCAAATAAAGCTACTTGCATGCTTACCCATCAGTTCTTAGGGCCAAGCTCGGTTCCAATGAAAATGCGGGGAATTTTGCCACTGATCTCAAGAAAACCTGGATTTGGTCCTTAGCAATTTGTTATTTCCACTAAGGAGCAGGAAAAAAAAAATCCACCACTACTCGCCACCGGTTTGTTTAGCAATATCCAAATGCTTTTAGGGGTTCTAGGTCACCCAGGTTCTTCTAGCTGAGACCTCTGGGATAATTAAGAACGCAGAGCCAGATCCTCAGCCAGTGGAAATCCATGAAGTCTCAAGTGCATTTACACTGGGTTGACAGTTTTCAGCCAAAAAATCCTCGCAGAGCACAAAGGTGCAGAATGCTGGACAGAGGGTCGAAGGAGATAGGGGGTCGACTGGCCCCATGCCTCTAGTACAGACAGAAATCCCACAATAAGTCTAGGAAGGGCTCCACAGCCACCCACTGTCTCCAAACAGGAAAGAGTGGGACGAAACAGGAATCCCACACTTTAGGCTTGGCAGACAAGGGATGCACCTAGCATCTTAACTGCCAGCCAAGCAGTTCACTCCGAGGGGCTTCCCCTCCTCCCAAGTTTGAGTTTCCCCTGGCACAGTTAGGAGAGGGCAGCAACTCGCCGTCAAGCATTCTCCACCTCGGGGCTCACCGTGCCACTACGCCCCGGTAGGGAAGTACCTTCTTTTCATGATACTGATGTGGAGATCCTCCTCCCTCTTCACTTCAGGGTGCTGACCATTGGCTTTGTCACTCTCCTCACTGTCATCACTATGTGAGAAAATTGAAGTCAGCTCTTTCTTGGGGATCCTGATGGGAGGCAGAGGGATTGTCCTCTTCTCGGCCAGACGACCCCGGTTCTTGCAGTGGAAGGAAAAAGCACAGCAGGGGAGGGGAGGAGGAACAGAAGGTCAGCATCATTCAGTGACTTAGGACCAAAATGCCCCTCCCCACCCCCACTCAAATTGTTATCCTGGGAACAAGACTCCATTCACATGCGACTACGAGGGGTGCAAAGGGGAAGATGCAGGCCACATTCATTTTTCAGGGGTATTTCATTGCAGCTGCAGCTGCGTGAACTTGCCCCAGCTCTAGCAACCAGAAGCTGCACAGTCCCATTTTCTTCCGCAGCCTTAGTACCTCCTGCACTCTGCCAGCTGGTCCAGGTCAGCAGGAGGGGAGGAAGCCAGCACGGCTGGGACCCAACCACATCTCTCTAGATTTCTAGCTAACTCTTCAGGACAGACTGATGCCTAACAGGGGAGACTCGACCCCCTGTACAGGGGCCCAGCACAGACCTCTGGCCCATTTAAGAACCCCTTGTGCCCCATTTTGACTTAACCTTGTGCTCTCCCGCTACACTGGGATTCATTTCACCCAAGTAGAAAATCTACAAGACCTGACCAAGATCCTTTTGACTTTCAATGGAAATCCCCTGCCTTAGCCAATGGCAGGATATGCCCCTCCATTTGGAGAGAAGTCTTGTACTAAGCTCACCATGAAGCTATTACTGGGGTGGTTTTCACTGGCCATCTACACACCAAGATAAACTCACTATCACAGGAGGAAGCTGCTTGTGCAGACTTTCCTCAAATCCTCCTCCCAATGCATTTCACCCACATGGACACCCCTGATCAGATACAACTAGACTGAAAGCTCTGTGCAGCTGGGCCTGTCCTTCACTTAGGTGTAGGTTTACTGTGCTTGGTGCAACTGTACCCGCAACTTAATACCGAACCTCTAGCTATTACATACTATTGGTATAGGGAAGCCCATGGTCACATGTGTCACAGGTCACCATCTCTCCATTTCTTCCACACACCATACATAATCCACATGGGGCAGGAGCCCAGTATAACCCCAGGTTGGGAGTCTGGGCTCCCCAGTGCAAGCTGTAGCACCTGATGCTTTTATCAAGAGAGGACCCCAGTTCGGTCTCTGGTGCATCAACCAAGATAGCGACCAAGCTAGCACTTATGGCATAATAAATGCTTTCAGGATACTCATTGACACAGTGATAAGGCTTTTACCCTGTAGAGCTTAAAATCTTACTGAGAGCACAAGCCTGGGAAGGGAATCATGGGGAAGGTGAAATAAAGCAGGAGCCTTGTTATTTGCCTATTACTTGTGCATGAGCTCCTAAGGTCCCTTCCAATCCTAATTCCAACCCTAATTTTCTATCATTTTATGACCACGCTTGCATGTTCTTCCATGGGAGAGGCAAAAGCTTATAAGCCTCTTGAAAGGAGGATGCTTTCAGGAAGGACGGGAAGGAGGAAACAGCAGCGCTACGTGAGGCCAGGTCAGATAAATGCAGAATGACGCTCCACACTGCAGAGATGCTCGAAGGCTGTGGCTCTGACCTCTCAAATAACCCAGGAAAACCAAAATGCTCTGGCAAAGGAGGGGAGAGTCCCTGCAGAGGCTGCTGGGTAAGAGCCAGTACTATTACAGCCCAGGGTTTTTAATTAAACCCATTATGAACTTTCCATGAGGACAACATGAAAACATCTCATCCTACCTCTGCCAACAAATTTCCAGTTGTGCTCATTAAAGGGATCCCCAATCCTTGCAATAATTAGCTAAATCCACCTGGAAGGCATGACCCAAAGGAGTTGCATTAGCTATCCTATTCTAACGTATTTCAGAGCCAAGGAAGCAGCTGTTGTAATCAGCAGACACCAAGGGACAAGAGCAATGGGTCACAGTGACCTATAAAATAGGGAAAGCCCACATATGCAGGGAAGAGGGAAGTCCCCAAGCAGCATGCTTTGCTCGCTCATAAAGTTTCCTCAAACTTCTTCTTGGGTCACTGTGGAAGTAGAGACCAGGTGGTGGAGTTGGCACCCCCAAGAAGCAGCAATATGGTTATTCCCTCCAAGTCTTTAAAGGTCCTATGTTTTGGCATAGCCTGCAGCAGCCTCCACTTTGCTTCTCAAGTACCCACATTCAGCAGCAAGGTGCCACGTTGGCGGGCACCATGCTGCACCGGCCTTCGTGCCCGGGGATGCTCTAAAGGTCACTCGTGGGGGGATTACAATGCTTACGCACTTCTTCCAAGAAGCACTGCTATGGAGAACGGTCATTTGTGCTTAACCTGGCACTCCTCGTCCAAGATCAGCGGCGACCCATTCACATGGCTCTTGGAAAGTAGGCTCTTGTGCCTTTTCCAGAGCCTGCAGGAAGCATGACAGGGGCTCTCCTTGCTGGGTCCCAGCCACCTCCCACCTGTCTGAAACTTTCCCAACCCACTGTGCTCCCTCCAGCTGCTCTGCACGCCGTTTTCTCGTTGCTAGCTGATTTGCACAGAGCTTGCCCTCTGCCTAAAGCCATCCTTTGTATGCTCGTGCAGTGTGAGAAGGGGCAGGGAAGGGAGAGCAAATTTGCACCAGATTCCAGTTGTGCGGGAAAGCTGGGGCTTCATATCAGCATTGGCTTTATCATCCCTGAGCTTTATATATTTTCTGAAGCTGCAATTTATCATAACAATTAAAGGGGGAGGAGTGTGCGTGTGCAAATTTCCGCTGCAAAATAATTGCTATGCGCTCTCTGCTGTGACTTCTGGGGCTAAAGAGAACAGCGCTGATCAGATAATAAAAATCATTTTATGGCCATTATGGTACCTTAGAGCAGTTACCAGGTCTCAGTGACTGCCCGAGGACTCATCAGACCTAACAAGAGCGAGAGTGCGACAGAAAGGGGAGGCACTGAACCCACAGAAACAGCCCACTGGGCCATGAACAGAACTAATGCCTTTTCTGCAACCCTGGTCCTTCCCTCCCCCCACCCCTCAGAATTGATAACACTCTGCACTTCGATAAAGTCTGCCGTTTCGTTTAAACCTGCAGCACGGAGGGTGGCTTGGTGACCCCAGAAGTCGTAACAGCATCTGCTAAAAGGGAAGGGCTCCACTTCAACTAGCCTAAGCGCGATAGATATTTGTATAGATGTGCATACATAATACACACAGTGCTGCATCACTTAAAAAACAAGCAAACAGGCCATGACAGCAGCTCACAACTGGGCCTCCTGCAAGGTCCAGCTACAGAGCTTTTGCTGTAGGCGGGTGGTCCCTGCAGTCCTGATTAGAAAAAGAGGCCCAGTGCTCTACTCCGGTACCTCAACGTGACTGCACTGAATTGGGATGGAGTTTTGAGCTGATAAGGCAAAGGGGAAACAGACCCTGGATATTTAATAAAATAGACCTGGATTCTGCTGCCAAATGCTTGTAAGACGACAATAGTTGCAAACTTGCGGCCACTTTGCCCTGTTTATGCCAGCAGGGTTTTCTGATTTCATTTCTCCCCTCTCAGAAAATTAAAGCAGACCGGATGAATCGATTTGGCCTTTTCTGTTTGTCTATAGTCAGCTTCTAATCGATTACACTTTTCTTAACCCATTTAGGGATATCTACCAGTAGATACACGACTACATGTAAACCAGGCGTGCAGGTGGCATCAGGCCTGATCCAGATACCTGCTTCAATTAGTGAGAGTTTCTCCATAGACTTCAAAGGTCTCTGGGACAAGCTGTGCGCAAGTCAAGGACACCACTTTGCAAGAGCTCCAATTGAGCAGGCTATTCCACTGACTTTGGATGAGGACCCTGTTAATGCTACAGACAAATCCTCTCAAGTAGGTGACGATTATACACAGGTGCCAACAGTTACTAAGACGCTGAGCTATTAAAGCCAGCTTGGCACACAATGGCGGTTAGCAAAGCACACACTTATTCGGGCAGTGTTAAGTGTCAGCATATACCTAGGGATGGCCGTGGCATTTTTATATATGGGTAGGTACATGAGGATTAATAGATATTTGATGTAGCCTTGTCATCTTGCATTAGGAAGGGCTGTGTGCGCTCCGGCAGCACCGCGCAGAGGTCTTGCATGCTTGGAGGATGCTACAATTGTTACCACGGTGAGAGGACTTTGATCTTTTAAAAGGAAAGGGTTCCCACTGATTTAGGTCCATAGAAGCAACTGATGCTCACACTGATGAAAACGGCCTTTTACAAGCCCTAGGCCAACTTAGTCATGCCCTTATAAATGGAGCAGCTGATTTCCTGCATCATAACCCTGAGCTGGAGAGCCTACAGCCCTCTGAGACTCTTCTTACGTGCAGTAAAACCTCCAAGGGTGGCAGAGTCCTTAGAATTCCCTTCAGGAATGGAACAATTTTTCCAACGATTTAATTCAGCTAATCAAAAATATCACATTTACCCAGAGAACCTTGTCGGCCTCCAGGAATGCAACACCTGAGACCTGGAGCCATGACACGCGGGCAAAGCTGCTGCACGCTCTAAAGGAACAGCTCCTTCTCTAGCCGCACTCCTCTTTTTCCTCCACTGCCCCTTTGCCCCATCAGACCTGCACCCCTCCTCAAGCTGCAGAGCTGCCCAGGCCATAAGAGCTCACGCTGCAACCTTGGAGGACCAAACTCAGATACTGCCCACCAGTGGGGTTATTTTGAAGCAGCGACTCTAGAACAATCTTATTCCATGTGCAGATGCACTTAATCCATTTTGAAAGTGGACCGAGGCAAAGCAGAGCAAGAATGGCTTCAAATGGAGTCACTCGGGAATAGCTTGCTCATTTTAAATTCACAGCCCAAGGGTGGACAAGCTGACTCGAAGGCTGACCTCTTTCCTCATAAAGTAAGAGCATCACTTGAACGTCACCCGAGTCATCCCAAGTTTATGTAATGGGCTCCTGCTTGGTAGGAGTAGGAAACACCTTTGGTTTTTTGTGCCTTTTAGAGCTGCATTATCTTAATTGTTGGCTACTGTGTAATGGAGCCATAATGGTCGGACCATGTTTTCCCCATGAGAGCAAGGGCTAGAAGCCAGACTGAATCCAACC